GACTTTGTTCCAGTTTTGAATTTTGGCCCACTGTGTATTTGAGTTTGACACCCCTGAATTAAAGCAACTGGAAAGACCTGTTTATTGTGTAGTTTAGATACAATTTCAGGTTCATTTACAGACAGATTTGGGTTAAAATAAAGGTTATCTATTTCTACAATAATAAAAAATATGCAGCTACAAGAGCACAAAATAGTAATAATTAATTACCAAAAGCTTGAGCATTTCTTACCTCTGTGAAAAATTCATGCTTTAAAAACATTGAAGCTCAAGCCCTGATAGGACAATCATACACACTAAGGAGAGTAAAAAAAATGACAGACATCATGAACCCTGCAGAGGAAACAGGATTCACACACACCAGTGACAAAGAGGATAAAAATCAATCAAATTAAAGACGAATCCACTGATGCACATATTTTTATAATTTAGCAATACACTTACAATATATTTTACAAGTTTAGCTACTTGTGATGCTAAATATTTTGAATTCTACTTCATGGTGCATTACTTAGCATAAAATAAAATAAACATGATCACAGAGGTGTTGTTTTAATAACATATTCTTATAAATACAACATCAGTTCAAGCATGTAATGTTGATTTATGTACCATTTGTTTGTATTCAGGTGACAATAGAAAGACTAATAAAACAAGTATGAACACATTTCCTACGGGGTTTTCAGATTTTCCATAAAAACACTTGTTGTTTGGGTGCTCTAGTTTCAACATTTTTTATCCAGTATATCCACCTACATCCCCCTTTTCTGCTCTTCTGTTCAAGCAATCTCAACTTTTCCTCTCTATCTTTGTCCTCTAGACTCCGCAGCTGAGCTGACCTACTCCTTTCCAATATAATATGTGTGCACTCCATATAAACATTGGAATTTGTGATGGGAAAAAATATTTAAATTTAATAAGAAAACCATATATTGGAAAACAAGTAGAATGTATTTAAAGTAGTGACTGCAAAGTAAACTAAAGTGAAGCAACTAGTGAGGTGTGGAGCTTGCCATGTGTGGCTTGCCATCACACACATATTTAATATATATACATGTAAGATAAATAATAAGA